TAATTTGTTTATATATACGTAAGTTGCCAAATAGTTTTACCATTATCGGTTCATCAGAAAACAAACAAATTGGGAATGCCTTTTAGAACATATTAATTAACAATGCTAAATCCAAAATTTAAATCATGAAAGCATGAAATCCAATACAATATTCATCCAGAAAACTCACATTTGCAAGGATTAATTTAATAATTTGAAAGAATTGTAACGAGAACCGTCTAAAATATAAGCAAACTAACCAAAAATTTTAATTTTTTTTTAAAGGCTTGCAATAAGCAGAAGCAAGAAAAAAAAACACCAGAATCATATCACTCGAGCATGATTAGTCGAACCAATATATATTTAATTTTAGGGTTTATAGGAGACAAAGAAACCTGAGAAAACTCACTCCTTTATGCCTTATCCATGAAAGCAAAACAAACCCATTCCTAATAATTAAGCGAGAGCCAAAAGGAAAAATAAAATTTCATGAATACCAGCATCCATAGTCACCACCCAGACCAGTCCATATATTATAGTCAATAGGAATCATACCAAATAGAATTATATCACGGCTCTCTTTCATCCGAACCCTAAGTTTGTTGTGTGGTTCTGATACCACATGTAAGACATATTCTAAAATCACAACAACAAAACATTAGGATTATGAACAAATCAAATCAATGTAAAATAGACATCGACTAATTATATTAAACTTATTTATAGAATACGAAACACATGGTTATGAAGATGAAGTCATTGGTCCTTACAACAAAGTAGAAGTAGTCTTCTACTTTCAGTACCTCTCAATTAACTATACTATCGAAATAGGCTTTATAGTTTTTGTGAGTTTCAGCTGATATGGGAGCAAGGACTGCTCTTAGGTTATATAGCTAGGGTTTCAATCAATTCCTCCCTATTATCAGAAAGGATATCAACCCAAATCATATCTAATCAATTAGAGTCCCATCATGACTCTTATTCCTTGTATTTACTTAATAAAGGTCCATAATTGATCGCATTTAATTAGGACTTCAATATGTTTATTTCCTTAAGGCACTGAGCGTCCTAGAGATTTCATCAACTTGATTGCCAAGTCAATTATTCCCTCATTTATTCTCGGCATAATTCATTGTCATTCACAAAATGGTTTTACATAACAAACCTCTTTCCCAGACTTTCTATTCTCAACCAAAGCAACATTCTCAAATTGGATTCTACAAAATTGCTGTGTTTACTTTCTCTTGTATATATGTTGTGTTTTCTAACATTGGGTATGGGACTATTTTTTCTTTTAAAATATGTACTTGTTTGAAATGCTTGTGTTGTTTTTTTTATTTTTTTATACTTCAATGCCATTGTAAGCTCTCACTAGTGAGCAGCTAGCACTATTGGTATTTGACAGCATTAATGATTTTCAAGAGAAGCGAGAAAAAATCGTTTAGGTTGTGTGGTAGAAAGATTAGGCCATTTTAGCTTTTAGCAGCTAGCACTATGGGACTATTGTTTTTATTTTTTTAATAAACGATATTATCTACACTAAGAGAGTGGGAATGAACTAAACTTCATAATGGGCTAGCAATAATGTGGTTTGTAACAACCCATTCCGAACTTCACGAAACGAAAGGGGTATTTTCGTATTTTCACTTTGGTTGGGTTTTATTTGTTTAAAACCTTACTTTTTGGCCTTAATTGGTGTGCCCAAGGGAGGCCCACCCTTGAACTTGTCCCCTGGCCTCTCTCCTTCTTGCACTGCCACGTGGTAGTCTCCCCTTCTTCTCTCTCTCTCGCAGCTCACTTCCTCTCTTCCTCTCAAACTCCCCCGAGCCCTCTTTCTTAGACGTCTTACTCCCACTCTCTCTGAGCCACACAAACCCAATCAACCACTCACCACCACCATCGTAGTACCTTCCCAGTCACGACCTCGAACACAAGACTGGTCCGTTGTTGCGTACAGTGGCAAAGACCATCGTCCTTTTCCTCCCTTTGTGAATTCAGACGAGTTCACCACAAATCGGGCCTAGGTAAGCCTCGGGGACACCTTCCTTATGTGTTTTGTGGCAATCGTTGAGCTTACTTATGTGTTTGGGTGAAGATTTGGTGCAGAAATGGCACCGGGAAATGTTTTCCCAGTTTTCCGATGACTGGGCCGCGAGTTACAAAGGTTTTTCGGCCACTTCCTAGCCATGGCAAGGGACCACAAAGGTATAAACCTCTCCCTCTCACCTCTATCTTCATTTTAGTACTTAGATCGTACCCTATGGTTATAAATCAAGCTCGGACGGAGTTCGGAGGAACTTTCCGGCCGAAATTCAGCCTTCTCCTTCGATTAGGTCCAGCGACCCACAATTTGAACTCAGGCTGGGCTTCCAAGCCCAAAGCCCATTCGAACCAGGTTCTTAGGTCGTGCCAACCTAGGGCCTTCGGCTCGTTCAACCCACTAGACCCTAAACCCAAACCCAGATATCTTACACCCTTTAAAACTAGGCCTTCAGACGAGCTTTCAAGCCCAAAGCCCTTTGACCCACAACCTAGGGCCACCCAAATCCAAACCCATGGGCCTTATAACTCTGCCCTAACCTAGACCTAATCTTTAAACCTATTAACTTTTTAACCAAAAGCCCAACCCACCTAAACCTAACCCTAACCTAAGTCCAAACCCTAAGTCTTAAACCTGGTGGCCCGACCCGATTGACCCGACCCAGTCTGACCGTTGACTTCAGTCAACGCTAACCGTTAACTTTGACCGATCGACGTTGACTTTTTTCGGGTTTTGTCCGGGATCCCTCCTAGGCTAATTTCGACATCCTAATTCCAATTCCGATGTCTGTTTTCTCAAATTCAATCATTTGATTGGAGTTTTATTAATTGGACCCTTTATGTGCTTAGATGCATTTATTGTGACGTTTCTGTCTTCGCTAGTTTGCATGGCTTTTCGATGGCGAAGCATCTGTGAGTGGACCTCTTCTAAAATGCATATTTTAATAGTAGAAATGCATACATGAAAAACATGATTTAATGGTTAAGTTTTATGAGTAAATTAGATTTACACTTTATGATTATCATGTTTTACTGAGACTATTTTGGAATACCATACTTTATCGAATTTATGTTCTTTATAGTATATATGATGGATGACTATGTACTATTTATGAACATGTTTTTACACTTCTTTGTAGTATATATGATGGATGACTATATACTATTTATGAACATGTTTTTACACTTCTTTGTAGTATATATGATGGATGACTGTACTATTTATGAACATGTTTTTACACTTCTTTGTAGCATATAGGATGGATGACTATATGCTATGAAGATGTTTTTGAGATATATGGATTTATGTTGGAAAGAGTATATTCAATGTTTTTGTGCTTATCTAGTGGTCACTATTCTGCCTACGAGCGAAGATACTTGTATATTGGCTTCGGGCCGGGAGATATAGTTATAGGCTTCCGGCCGGAGATATAGTTATTGGCTTCGGGTCGGAAGATATAGTTATTGGCTTTGGGCTGGGAGATGTAGTACCACGGGTGACTATGATACCACTATTTAGCACACTATACTATATATGTTTTATGAATTGTTTTATGGCATGCTAGGGTCTTCGGAAAACATATTACATACTATACTACTGAGTTTTCATAAACTTTGGGGGTTAGTACGTTGAATAACTGTTTCAATACTATATATATATATCAACTTGGTCAACTCATGTTTGTTTTGCACCCCCTTAGGACTTAGAATCGAGGCATACAATCCCAGCGTCAAGACACTTCCGCATTGGCATCTTCGAGTCCTCTCGGTGTAGGACCCATTCCTTTATTCATTCAATTTTATATTCTTCCCTTAGTGTTCTAGTTAGATTGTATGCTCTGAACACGTTCCTCATTTGCATAATCATTGTATATTTTAATTCATAACTTTTATTTATATTCATTGTTCTCATGCATCCTAATATGGCTTCGTCACCTTCGGGTGTCGGCCAGCACGTGCCTACCCTGGTGTTCAGGGAATATCAGGGTCGGGCGTGTCATGGTTCGAATTCGCCTTTAGCAAGAATCAAACCTAAGACCTCTCACTTACAAATGAAGAGGAATACCATTAGACTGCAGTACTAAGTGGCAATTGTAAGCCAGATGTTGAAAACTCAAAATATAGCCTTTCACTTATTTGGTTTCCAGTTTTCACTGAAACTACTAAAATTTGTTACCAGATAAGTTTTCGGTTTTAATTTTTGAAAACTAAAACAAAACATGAAATAGTTTCAAACAACCCCTTAATGTTGCAAAATTTAGAAACAATTTAAACTTGAACTATTGAAATGATTTCCGATCCGATTATTATTTTTTGTTTGGGATAATATTTAATAAACCTTCTAAAATATATACAGTTTTGAACATTAAACTACGTTGTAGCTAGCATTCCCCTTTGTTTTTAAGAATGTTACTCAATTATAATGAGATCTATCTGAATTATATAGTTTGTTTTAATACATTGACATTATTTACACTATAGTGTGGGGGAGTAGGCTAAGCCTTATAATGGACCAGCTATAATAATTTAGTTTGAATTCGATTTTGACAAAAATCAAACATATGATCTCTCACTTAAAAGTGAAGATAAATACCACTAGACTGTAGTACGAAGTGACATCTGAATTATATAGTAAGGGCAAAGCATGAGGCCACAGTAGTGAATACTGAATAATAGATATTTAGACGTACTTATCTTGTAATAATAATATTTGGAGATAACAAGATTCCAACAGTGTTTACATGTTGTCAAGAAATTGTAGGGACTTGCAGATATATCTACGGCTGTCCCTTGTTTAAGGCTAGCCACTAAACTAACACCAGCAGTTCTCACTTCCTTACAAAATATATAAGTTTGGATGACTAGCTACCAAAATTGTGGGCATATGTGAAGGAAGACACAACCATGTGCTCGCCCAAGAATTTATGTGCAACCATTTTCTAACTAAATTGCCCTCGCAAATTAAGATGTACAAACTCTCTCGTCCATAGATTTTTGTCCAACCTACTTCTTCTATTTATACACGCACATTATCCCAACAAAATATGCAACTCGAGTACTCCACACATTCTCCACTACCAAATCTTTTCTTCTTCTCTTATTCTTCCAAGTCATTTTTCGAAACACCGTCCTCTTTCTGATTAAAGTGATACTACTTAAGTTACATTTTAACACATGGCCATTCGATTACCACAAATACTACGACAATCGAGTTTATTGTTTGCAAACAAAGCAGCTTCATCGTCGCCGTCTTCTGTTGGTGTTCCAAAAGGCTACATGGTAGTGTATGTCGGAGAGAATGGAAAGAAGCGGTTTGTAATTCCAATATCATTCTTGAATCACCCTTCGTTTCAAGAATTGCTAAACAAGGCGGTGGAGGAATTTGGGTACAATTATCCGATGGGTGGACTCACAATTCCTTGTACAGAAGACATCTTCATTGACCTCACTTCTCGCTTGAACGGATTGTGAACTGCAGCATGCATGCGTACACTAATTGTTGTGAACTAGGACACAAAATTTTGTGAATTCTTTTACATTCTGTTTCTTGTCTAGACCTTCCACTAAGGGAAATTGTCTGACCACCAAAGAGTTGATGAATTTCTCACACATTTATGTTTTTTTCATCAACATGTTTCAAATCAATGACATTATTAAATCGAAACTGATCTTGAGATATTTCAGACTGCAAATCTTTATTTTTTTCAAGTTATATATGGGTCTTCATCGATATTTTGTCGAATAAAAAATGTACGCCTCAGCTCATTGTTCTCATATCAGTGATTGATTGGTCGAGGACATTAGAACTCTTTTATGCTCATACATAACCAAATGCTAAAAGAAAATTAAGTTAATAAATCTTGCAAGAAAAGAGGAAAGTTCAATTAAGAAGTCAATGGAAGTCTAACTGATCAAAAACGACATTCTATATCTTATTCTGAAGTGGTTTAATCAATTTCTAGTATGCTTTGGTTTACATGATACACCAATGTACACTAAAATATTCGAATTTCTTAACTAGTCTTTCACATCCATCAGCTCAAACATGCACATGCCTTGCTTCAGAAGTGCGATCTTCTTAAGTGCAAGCCTACTTCTACATGAAAATTTTTAGTTATGACATGAATACGGATGATACACCACATGTTTTTATGCAAGTGGTGGAAAATTTTAATTTTTAAGTTATTAACCTTTTAACACACATAACTCACCATTTATATAGAAAGACGTGATGTACCACTTCGTGTGATGGTCACACTAAAAAATCTTTCCTTCTCCACCTCTTGCGGCTAAGGTGGCCCTTACGGCTTCCGATGGTTCTCTACTTTCATCTCTACTTTTTATGATGAGCTCGTTGGTTCCTTGCATTTGACGCTTGCTAGTCCTCATTTATCATATGCTGTTATTATTATTGCTTAGTTCATGAGTGCTCCGAGCACCACCAATACGATAGTTGTGAAACACATTCTCTAGTATGTCAAAGATACTATTGACTTTGGCCTTCACTTCTGCCCTCAATCCTCTTATACGGGACTCTCTGCTTTCTCTGATGCTCACTCCCGACACTCGATGCTCCACTAGTCGCTATCTTGTCTATTTGGTCACGAACCTGATCTCTTGGTGTTCCAAGAAACAACCTATTATTTCGCGCTGTAGTGTCGAGTTTGAATATCCCTCTCTTGCTCAAACCTGAGCCAAAACCGTATGTTTTGGCTTGGGGTTCGCCTCCCTTTCTTGGTTCTTTTCCATTACGTACGAGAATTTGAGTGCCAAATGTAAGAATTGTAGAAAGTAAGATCTTAGTGAATAAGAAAACTGAATCTTAGAGAAAGAGAAAGATTAGAGAGAGAGAGGGAATGTAGAGAGAGAAAGAGAATTGTGAAAATGATTTTCATTATATTTCATATCTCTGTACATGAAGTATTTATACATAAATACCAAAGCTAACTATTTTAGCATTCCCCTAACTAACCCATACAGTCAAGAACTAATCTGGTGTTGTACACCTTTGGTAACTATGTGAACCTACAGTACTCCTAACACACCCCCTCAAGCTGAAGGTAGAGGATCGAACTGAAAGCTTGTCAGTCAGGGAGAGAAACCGATCGGCAGGGAGAGACTTAGTAAAAATGTCAGCAATCTGTGACAACGTATTAACATGTTGAACATCAATCTGACCCAAAAGAACTTTCTCGCGGATAAAGTGATAGTCAATCTCAACATGCTTTGTACGAGCATGAAATACTGGATTGAAAGCTAGTGCAATAGCACTCTTGTTATCACATAATATAACAGGTGTACGAAGAAGGGGAAATGAAAGATCAGAGAGTATCTTGCAAACCCACGAAATTTCTGCAGCAGTGTTGGCAAGGGACCTGTACTCAGCCTCAGTGGATGACCGAGCCACTGTGTTCTGTTTCTTAGCACTCCAAGCTACTAAATTGGGTCCCAAAAACACACAATAGCCACTTGTAGATCTTCGGTCAACAGGGCAACCAGCCCAATTGGCATCAGACCAAGCAGTGAGAAGCTGAGCACCCTTGGTGAACTGCAATCCGGAGTCAATAGTGCCTTTAAGATATCTGAGGATACGCTTAACAGCTTGCAAATGAATAGTTCGGGGAGTTTGCATATGTTGACACACACTTGATTCACTGCAAAAGCAAGATCAGGACGAGTCCAGGTAAGGTACTGTAATGCACCAACAATGGACCTATAGGAAATAGGATCTGCAAGTGGTGTGCCTGAGTGATCCAGTTTAGAAGAACTAACTGGAGTAGTGCAAGGCTTGACGCCTAACATATCAGTTTTCTTTAGGAGATCCAGAGCATATTTTGACTGATGAAGAAATAGACCGTGAGAAGATCGAGTCACTTCAATTCCCAGAAAATAGTGAATATAAACAAGATCTTTGACAGGAAAAATAGCTTGCAGTTGAGAAATAATAGTTTGGCAGACTTGAGATGAGCTGCTAGTGATGATTATATCATCAACGTACACCAAGATAAAAGTGATGGTGATGTCTTTCTTGATAAAAAGACTAGTGTCAGAGGAGGATGCAGAGAATCCCAAGGACAGAATAGCCCGATAAAAGGCTTCATACCAGGCGCGAGGCGCTTGTTTAAGACCATAAAGGGACTTCTTAAGTTTGCAAACATGAGTAGGCTTGGAAAGATCAACAAAACCCGGGGGCTGCACCATATAGACATCCTCCTTTAACTGACCATGAAGAAAAGCATTGCTAACATCTAATTGATGAATGAACCAATCATAATGCACTGCAAGGGAAAGCAAAATCCAAATAGTGGGTGGTTTAGCCACGGGACTGAAAGTCTCAGAGAAGTCCAAACCTTCTTGTTGGTGGAAACCCTTAGCAACTAGCCGTGCTTTATACCTTCAGATAGACCCATCTGCCTTGTGTTTCACCTTGAAAACCCATTTACAGCCGACAAGATTGTAGGAAGGATGAGAAGGCACCAAATCCCATGTACTAGTGGATTGAAGAGCTTGAAATTCATCTTGCATTGCGGCCATCCAAGGTGCATGTTTTGAGGTTTGAAGGTAAGTGGTGGGTGCAAATGGTATTTGGGTAAGAGGATCAATAGAAGATGGAAGGGCATGCTTGGTAGCAATGAAAACTTTGGGTTTATGAATACCAGCTTTGGCTCTAGTGATCATAGAATGAGTATTGTGAGATGCACCAATAGGTGGAGGAGAACCCGAGGCTATATCAGTAGGAAGAGCAACTGGGAGAGAGGAAGGAGATGTTGATGGAATAGAGGTAGGATCATGTATTGGACTAGTAGATGGTTGATGTTGAGAGGCTGCAGTTTGAGAAGAAGATGGCACGGGTATATTAACTGAGATGGAAGAAGGGAGAGGATTGGAATGAGATAGTACAGAAGATGAAGCTGGTAAAAAATTAGGATGAAGATAAGGAAAAGTACTCTCATCAAACACCAAATGTCTTGAAATATAGAGTTTCTCAGTGATAGGATCATAGCACCGATATCCACTGTGATTCAAGCTATAGCCCAGAAAAATGCACAACTTACTCTTTGGTTCTAACTTGTGGCTGGAGTAAGGTTTCAGCCATGGATAACAGGCACATCCAAAAGGCTTCAAGGTATGATACTTCGGTGGAGCTTGAAATAAATGTGCCCATGGACTCAAGGAAGAGGTCTATGAAGGCAACCTGTTGATGAGATAAACAGATGTCTGAAAAGCTTCAACCCAAAATTTGGATGGTAAACCACTCTGAGAAAGTAGGGTCTCAACCCATGACGATGTTTCCTCTCTGCACATCCATTTTGTTCAGGTGTGTGTGGACAACTCAGCTGATGTGTAATACCTTGAGCATTAAAGAAAGCTTGAAGTGTGTGGCTCAAAAACTCACCCCCTGAATCAGTCCTTAAACACTGAACTTTAGAGGCAAATAGTGTTTGAACTTTGAGAAGGAAATTGATAAGAGCTGAAGATACATCCGATTTAAGATATAGAGGATATAACCAACTGTATTTGGTGAAATCATCTACTATTATTAGATAGTATATTTGTAGTACAAGAGAGTGAAGGGGAGGGTCCCCATACATCAGCATGAACCAAATGAAAAGGCTTTTACAAGGCAACACAAGAAGGGAAGCTTAGAAGCTTTGCCCATTCGACAAGCAACACAAAATGGCATTTTTAACTTACATAATATTATGTAACACAGAGTGTAAGATAGCATGAAGGATGTCCAGCAAGCAAAGCATGATTCCAGAAAGATTCAGAGGAACTGGAATAGAAAATTCTTTCCCCATTTTAAAAGCAAAAGGGATCCACAAATCAAAAGTTAGAGATAGATTTAAGAAAACTTGAGACAATTTTTAAATCCCAGTAGAAAGAGAGCAATTGACATAGGAAGCTGATGTAAAAATAAGAGTGAACCCTTTAAAGAGAAAACAAAGACAGGTGATAAGAGGCAGCCCTCTATGAAAAATAGTTGGAGCCAAGAGATCAGAAAATGACATTTTTGCCAGTAGATTAGAGACCAAGTAAGACATCTTTAAGACGAAAGACTGATGGTGCGAGGCATGAGAATGTGAAGATCAAAGACCTTCCTTCACCCATAATTGTTGGCCAGACTGTAGGAAGCCCCAGAATTGTAAGAAAGATGAGAACCATGAAAACATATCTGTTATCCAAAATTAGAGATCAGAGCATTATAGCATTGAGCCCAAGAGTAAGAATCCACTAAGAGTAGAAACCATGAGTCAACCAGAGAACCATTGAAGAGAGATTGAAATTGTGTTAGAAGACGACCACAATGAGAGCATGACCATGCTTGAATTGCAAAGTTGGCATGGAATCGACTTGCCACTGAAAAGATCAATCGATGTGACCAAAGAATCCCACCAGTTGATGAAAATCGATTACCAAAATCAATGATCTGATTGAATTTGAACGATTGGTTGATTTGATTTCCCTGAATCCAGAGAATAACCAGAATTAGGAGAAGAGCAGAGTTGAGAGCATGAAATGGAGTGGATGCAGGGGCTTGATTTTTACGCTTTTGAAGAGAAATTTCCTTACTCGAATTAAGAGAATCGTCACTTTTCTGGATCGAAAGGCAGTCTGAATCTTGGCACTGAAAATTTGTGAACACTGAACGAAAAACGCCAGAAAAGCGTTTTTCCAGAGAGAAGCTGAAAGATTCAGAATCATCCATACCAACAGTCAAAGGCAGGAGATCTTTAGAGAGAGTCAAATTTATCCAAATCATCAATATCTGATCTCGATCACACCAAACATCATACGCAGGATTAAGAACTCGAGTGCCAGTAGAATCATAGACGAACTGAGAAGGACAGATGTCAGTGCCATTGACAAGCCTAAAAGCTTGAAAAACTTCAGAAAACAGAAGAAAGAGTTGTTGCCAGGTGAATTGTACATATTGTGAAACGCAAAACTTAGTCGGAACCATGCCGGTGATGTTCTGAACGGTGACAGATGTAATCGAATGATTCAGAGCATCAGCGGGAGGAATAGCGGCTGAGGACGAAGAATTGGTAGAGGTCTCCACAACAGTCATGGAAAATTTGCAGAAAAAATAGAGAGAAGACGAGAAAAATCTGTTTGGTAGGAAAGAAAAGTGCGGAAAAATCAAGAATACGGAAGCGGGAGATCAACATCGGTGGACTCCGGCGATGATACCATGTAGAAAGTAAGATCTTAGTGAATAAGAAAACTGAATCTTAGAGAAAGAGAGATTAGAGAGAGAGAGAGAATGTAGAAAGAGAAAAGAAAAGTGAAAATTTGATTCATTATATTCATATCTCTGTACATGAGTATTTATACATAAATAACCATAAAGCTAACTAGTTTAGCATTCCCCTAACTAACCCATACAGTCAAGAACTAATCTGGTGTTGTACACCTTTGGTAACTATGTGAACCTACAGTACTCCTAACAAGAATATCGTTTAGATCAATATGAAGTTAGGATTACATATATATATATATATATATATATAAGCATGTATATGCATGCACAATGCAGATGAGTTATATACTTGCACATATTGTCTAACAACCAATACCACAATTATGTCGAGAATGTTACCTGCAGATGAAGACATGCTGGAATGGAAAGAGAAGACAATTATGAATGTTCTTTGAATACAGGGTTTATATGAACTTGGAATATGAAGATAGGGGACCCTTTTAAATATGATTTGATTTTTCCATCGTGAATCCTATTATTGGAAGAACTAGGCATTCCCTTTGATAACCGCATGAAATTTAATATGTTTCAGATTAAAAGATTTGGAAATGAAATTGATTTAATGCATATTGTTCAACCATTGATTAAAAAATGTTAAACATGAAAAAAATAGTAAATCAAGTTCTTTCTAACAAAATGGTAATTGACAAAATTGAATAAATGTGATTCAACAAATTTGAAAAAAATTTGACAAATGAAAAAAAAAAAAATTAAGGTACAATTCTTGAAGTCTTTGAAAACTTTATGAGCCTAATTACAATTGAAAATGAAGAAATTAATTGAAACCTGAACAATTAAATTTGACAAATTGACTACTAAATGAACCGCAAATGAAAACAAAAATCTAAAATATTATTAAGTACAATTACCAAAGGAAGCTGAATAAAATGTCAAAAGTGATACACTGAGATAAGGTTGGTGGCATCAAAATCACTAATAAAATATGCATCAAAATCACTAAGACTTGACTTCACTTGCTTGTTAAAATATAAAAAATTCAAATAATATTGTTTCCAAAAACTTGTCTAAAGAAAAGAACACCATTCACCTCTAAGGCTCTAACCATTTTTTGGGGGTTGGGGTGGACGCGCTTCCTCTTCCACATTTAAAGACCAATGTTGGGGGTAGACCAAGAGTAAGTGCAACCCGACTGCAGCAAAAAAAACGCAATTGACTTTCACACTACAGAAATAAATGTTAAAAAACACATACTTGCACCCAAAGCTTTTTTTTTTTTTTTTGGTGCAGTATAAGAATAAAAAAGGATAACATTCCCCCGAAACCCAAATTCATCCCCCAATTTCTTGCAACAAAATTTTAGTAATTACAAACGTCCCAAACTTACTAAAAGGGTTTCAATAACCTTCTTGCATTGCAGGGTCCAAGAAGAAGCAACCCATTTCAGCAAACTCACATTTCAGGAACTCACAAATCGCAAAACATAAAACTAATTCAAATATGAAATCTAGTGAAAATCATCTTCATGGACCACAACTTCTAAAATCCTAGAAGGCTTCTTTCTTTCTCCACTATCTGAATGTTCCATTTATTTTCTACTATTGAACTAAATTTTCACTTAATTAAATCTCAAACACTTCCAACTAAATCTTAAATCAAAAGTTGTTCAATTATATTAAAACTACACATAGGGAGAGGGAAAGAGAAGAGACCTGGGAATTCCAGATCCTTAGATAATTGCCAGGAATTCCCCGATTGGATTCAAAAGTACTGAGAGCAATAATTCCATTAATTGCATATAATCAGAAGTAAGTACACCAAATCGTATATTTCAGTGAAAGATGCTGAAAAGTAACTGCAATCCAGGGAACAATTTCCTTTATAAGCAAAAATAAAATAATAGAAAAACTAGTAGTGCGAAAATACTTTCCTTCGTAAAGCGTCGTAAAAATCGTTTGCGTCAAGCGTGACGTTTTCGTCGCGCAAAACCCGTCGCGCCAAGTCGGTGATGCTAGAGTTTGCTCGACCAAGGTATAACCTGCGTCACGCAAGGCAACTTTGCACGACGTAGGTCCTGCATCGCGCAATGCCACTTTGCTCGACGTAGATCCTGCGTCGCGCAAAGTTGTCTTTGCGCGACGCAGGACCTACGTCGAGCAAAGTGGCCTTGCGCAACTCAGGGCCTACGTCGTGCAGAGTTGCCTTGCGTGACGCGACCTACGTCGCGCAAACCCTTTATTTTTATTTTTTTTATTTTTTAATGTTTTGGTCAAAACTTTTTTTTTTTTTTTTTGATAAATATTGTAATTAAATAGTGAAGAATAATTAATTAACCAAGCAAAAGTATTTAATTATAAAATATATAAAAATGTATACATACAAGATGTCCAAACAAAAAGGAAAAAAGTACAAGTGAACTAAGTTTAAAACATCAAGCTACTGAGTATCGGGAGGGTGAGGTGGCTCTGAGGTCAAAGGTGGATCAAGATGAGGTGCTGGTAGCGAGACTTGTAGGCCGGCCATCTGTATGGCTCGTACAAGGTTTCTCACCGTCTCAGCATAGGTCCTCACCTCTTCGCTCTGGACCCTCAGCTGCGCTTTCATCTGCTCGCCCTGGGCCTTCATCTGCTCTTCCTGGATCGCAAGCTTACCCCTTAAGGTTGTCACTTCATCCATCAATGATGTGTTCAATCTGGAAGAAAAGGCACCCGTCTCACGAACCCATGATTTCCCCATACCCCGAACAACCTGGCCATGACGACGACCAAGGTTCTGATCCAGGACTTCAGTCATGATCTGAAAACCTACATCCTCTGGTACCATGACGTCCTCGATCGAAGTCTCCGGGGGAAGTTGCAATGTTGCTTCTTGGAGAACAGCAATGCTCTTTTCCACCATAGTATCCTGTAATAATAAAGAAAAAACATATAATGTTTAATAACAAAGTATAAATAATATTTGAACGATTCATACAAATAAGAATAATAATAATTACATATACTTACATAAAACTGCTCAACGATTTCATTACCAAGTCGAACGTAAACGTCCTTGAACATGTCGATCTCTGGGAACTTAGAACCCTCCTAAAGAAAAAAAACATTAAGAAAATTTTATTAATAATAATAAATAAATTGTATAAAATTTCAAAGTTAATATAGTATTACCTGACGTCGTTCCTCAAGCCTATACGAAAAGGGCTTCGAACCAGAATGGTGGAGAAGTGTCTTTGACACTCGAGCTATCTGGCCAGCAACAGATTTCTTTTGTTAAACACACAATATACTTGTTAGTGAGACTATTTGAAATAAATTAATAAAAAAAGCTTTAAAAAATTACTAAAACAATAATAAATTATTATTAAAATATTATGCACATACCACAAAGTCTGGGCCCGTAAAATGCTTGCAAAGCCACTCCCAATCCTCTGGCCGGTCATTCAATTCGCTTGGAACATGTAAGCGAGCAATCTCCAGATTATCCCATTTCTTAAAATGATTGTGAAAATTGTTCTTCCAATTTTTGTACCGGCTTGCTAAGGTCCCCTCTAAGTAGGCCATGACCTCGGGGGATGCGTCATCAAGATCATAAATGAACTATGAATATGAAAAATAATAAAATTGAATGTATTCTTGCATTTGAAACGAATCACCACTTGGACTAATAAAAGTGAATATATTCTTACGCCATGAAGTAAAGATACAGGAAAACCAAATGTACATAAACACATGTTGGACTTCATCACTTTGAAGTTCAAGTATGAGAGCTACATCAAGTCATCTAAATGGCGTTTAATCCAGAACTTATGAATGAAATTATTTAACTCTCTTCATACTTAATCATGCCCTCCTTACACCTCCCCACTAGATAGAGAATGGAAAAACATGTCCCCCCCCCCCCCCGCCCAAAGAAAAAAAAAAAAAAAAAACCCATCCTAATTCCACTAAACTTTTTCAAACAATTTATTTTCAATAATATTCATACACAATTGTAATATTTGGGAATTTGGCTCAGCAATAAAATACTCAAAAATCAACATGCAATTTGAGCCTAAACCCTAAACCAAATTCAAATGCTTCACATGTTCATACACAACTGAAATATGTTTCACATGCTTTCACTGTTGATATACACGTAGAAATGCTTTCCCTTATTTTCCATCATTAGACGATGCAATAATCTTACAAATTCCCAAATATTACAATTTTGTTCATGGAAGATTACCCTATGAGAATCTAAGACCAGACCATGTCTTAAGGACTCTATTGCTGAGCCAAATTCATGTTCATACAACTACATAAATACATAACACCATCAACAAGCCACAATCTTGTAACAACTACATAAATACAGAACAACTAGATATATATATCATTACAAAACATTGGAAAAAATTTTGACCATGAGGCTTATTATGATATCGCTACATTATTAGCCATATTTCCTTATAAATGTTATTGACTTTATATAACTGACCAAAACTAAATAAATTAGGTCACCATGTGCATCTAGGTGGATACTCCATTTATATAGGAAAAGCTAGGGTATCACATGGCTGGACTTAGTTGGATTTTAGAACATTGTTGGAAACTTTTTAGCCCTGAACCAAAAGTTTATACATTTTAGAACATTGGTGTCCGACCAGTGAAGTGAAGGGGGCTGAGGAGCAAGTGTGCGCTAAAGGTTGAAGTAGATGTGCAAGTGTGCATACTTTAGATAAACACAATGCCTGACATACGACACTCTAGATCCATAAGCTTGTGGCGAATGCAAGCCTAAACGAATAGTAGTTATAACATACAAATTCCTAAACGAATAGGTTAACCGTTGATGGCAATTCTTTCTTGCAAAACTAATAGTTGGCAATTCTTTCTCTGCCTTTAACGTAAAAAAGAAAAGTTTACCCTTTTGTTTTGAGTTCTTTCAATAGAAATCAGTAGACAAGTTCTTACTCAGGGAAAATGGACGCTTTCACCTTCTATGTTTACTTAATTTCACAAATTGGCCACCAAAACATATGCACTCTTCTTTAGACAGTTTATCAATACTCAAGTTCGATAGCATCATATTTTTTTGGGACAACTAACCACAAAGTCAAAAAATCATAGTGAAGTAAGCAGCATGCGAAAGTTGTGGTAGTTAAGTGCAGAAACTTTGAAAGCTATGAGAATCTGGCTCAAGTTGGATGTATTACCTCTGTAGTTCCTACTATGCTGCAATTTACAAACAATTCACGATGTGGCAGAAAAATAATCCGAAGCTTGGTCTGCAACAGTTGAATTCCAGTTCTGCGCCGCCGGACTATTAAAAAGATCCTCAATTAACAAGGTCCTCAATTAAAAGGTCCTCAATTAACAAAGCACAACAATACTAAACCAGCGTAAATGACTTTAACTAAGAGATGGCATTGTAGATCAGCAAATGGGCTTTCACTTTCGACAATTTTAGCCACAAAAATAACTAAATCTTAATACTTTTCGGTCAAACACATCTTGTAACAGGACATTATTAGCAAATCACATAAACCATTTTGCTAAAATGGCACCAACTACATTAAATCAAAGATATCAAACACACATAATCATCCAAGTTTCATTCTTTACTTCATCATACTACCACCTAATATCTCTGCTAATCATCATTCTAAAATTTCTTTTCCTGGACTTTCTCGGTAACCAAACAGCTGAATTATGAGCTTATAATCAAACAGTCCAACCTCGCAAATTCACAATCTTTTCATCCAATTCAAACTCAGGATCCAAATGAAAGAGAAAGAGAGCAACAAGACTTACAGTTTTGGCAATCGCAGCACCCCAGCCTTCATCAAAGGCCCTCTTCATCACCGTATAGTTAGTCCAGGGCGGCAACCCGATAACGAACGGGTTGGGCATGTGCAACCCATTAACAGTAACACTAAGATCAGGCTCTGCCTTGCTCTCGAAGGCCAACACCCTGAACCAAACTAAACCAAATTCATGTTCATACACAAAACACACATACATTAACAAAATACTCAGAAATCAACATGCAATTTGAACCTAAACCCTAAATAACAAAAACCCATCGAAAATCAGAAACCCTTACCTTGATTTTGGGACTTGATTCGCGTCGGCTTCGAGATTTGCGTGAAGGTCTGTCATGTGGGTTCAAGGTTAAGAGGAAAGACAGGTCTGGGTTCGAGATTGTGAAGAGGAAAGATTTGGGGTTCAAGATTTGTGAAGAGGAGAGAGGGAGATAAAGAGGGACGGTTGGGTTAGGTTCGAATAGAAGGAGGACCACCTGAGAAGGAGGAGGGTAATTATGTGATCAAGAGGGATGGTTGGGTTAGGTTCGAATAGAAGTAGGAGGGTTCTGTGTTCAAGAGGGAGATAGAGAAGGGCAAAGTGAAAAAATTTGGAAAAATTGAAAAAAAAACGCCTATTTTTCATTGTTATACAGTCAAAATTATCAGACCTTGCGCGACGTAGGTGTATAATTAGACGTCGTGCAAAGTGGTTTTGCACGACAATCATACTAAAGCATCACGCAAAGTATTTATTTGGAAAAAACAATTATTATAAAAATTACCGAAAATGTGAGTTTCCTCCTTTCAAATTCAAATTTTTTTAACATCCCCCACAATAATATATTTTTCTAACAAAAACCCACAATAATTTTTTTTTTCATATATATCAGTCAATTTCTTAAGTATTATAAGTACGAAATAAATAAATTAAAATATACTTAGTAAATATATATACAGTTGAACTTCATGGGAAAAGCATTGTATGAAATTAACTAGTTTCAAAGATCCAACTGTCAAAGTTGTTTGTATATGCTTTGAGATCGCATCAGCCAAAAATCGCAAAAAACAAACATATAGAGATCAAGTAACGGGACAAAACTTTTCGACGATTAATTTAACTCTGATTTTGATGATTTTTTACAGCTACACTCTTTAATCCTATATGAATACAATAAACTAATTCGATCGTCAATTTAAAATATTGACACAAGTGGATACCACAATATCTTATGTTATACTTAATGACAATATAAATAAACTTCAAATGTTAGTGAATCTAATGTTTTGATGTGATACGCATTGTACGAAACTAGTTTCAACGATCCAACCGTCAAAGTTGTTTCTATATGCTTCGAGATCATGTACGCCAAAAATCGCAAAATAAAAACATATAGAGATCAAGTAACGAGACAAAACTTTTCGACGATTATAAACGAAAAAGCACGATTTAACGGTTAATTTAACTCCGATTTTGATGATCTTTTACAGCTACACTCCTTAATCCTATATGAATACAATAAACTAATTCGATCGTCAATTTAAAATATTGACACAAATGGATACCACAATATCTTATGTTATACTTGATGACAATATAAATAAACTTCAAATGTTAGTGAATCTAATGTTTTGATGTGATACGCATTGTACGAAACTAGTTTCAACGATCCAACCGTCAAAGTTGTTTGTATATGCTTCGAGATCATATACGCAAAACATCGCAAAAAACAAACATATAAAGATCAAGTAACGGGACAAAACTTTTCGACGATTATAAACGAAAAAGCACGATTTAATGGTTAATTTAACTCCGATTTTGATGATTTTTTACAGCTACACTCCTTAATTCTATATGAATACAATAAACTAATTTGATCGTCAATTTAAAATATTGACACAAGTGGATACCACAAAATCTTATGTTATACTGAATGAAAGTATAAATAAACTCCAAGTGTTAGTGAATCTAATGTTTTGATATGATACGTATTGTACGAAACTAATTTGAACGATCTAACTGTCAAAGTTGTTTGTATATGCTTCGAGATCATGTACGCCAAAAATCGCAAAAAACAAACATTCATATATCAAGATTTGGGATGTTAATTAGACCATCTCCGATCAAAGGGATTTTGGTCAATATTAACCTTGAAATTGAACAAAATAATCTCCAACCAAAGAGATTTTACAAATGGGTATATTCGGGGTTCGAATCAGCCCCTAGAAGGCCTAAAAAGTGCCACCCCCAAGCAGTTAGGCATTTCTTTTTGAGCTTGTTAGTTATTGACATGGTGAAAAGGTACTTGGGCATACTAAAAAGTACGTGATAAAAATATAGAGAGAGTAAGATTTAGCCAATAAGATTGAAGACGGAAAATTTAAAGATTTTGTGTTATATACTTTATGTTGAATATATTTTGTGTTTGAAAATTTATAAAATTAGTTTGTTATTATTCCTTTAAAAATTATATTTTTGAGGCCTATGTAGCCCTCCATAGTTGGAGATTGCCTTAATTAGTAGTATATCCGATTCAAGTTTTCGTTATTAGTAATACTGTTTAGTGCTTGGAGTAGAATGTCAGGAGGTTTGTGAAGGCCGGTCAAACAAAGGCATGGAATAAGAACCTCTTGAAGGAGGAAATAGAGGAGAGGCTAAGAGATTTGAGATGATGCTACTTGAAAGAGTAACATTTCGATGACGTGAAAAAGTTCCAATTGGTCATCTACAAGAGTCGAGCTTAACACATCTTACTTAAAACAAATATTTGCAAGTAGATTTCATATACCAGAATATATTCAACATAAATTATATAACACAAAATCTTCAAAAACAAAATAAAGTATTTATTTTGTACTCATAAGCCAAAAATTAAAAAAAAAAAAAAACCAAAAAAAAAACTTTCGCGACGTAGGTACATGCGTCGCACAAAATTGCTTTGCACGACGTAGATACACCTGCGTTGCGCAAAATAGCTTTGCGCGACGCATGTACCTACGTCGCGCAAGTTTTTTTTTTTTTTTGGGCTTATGAGTACAAAATAAATACTTTATTTTGTTTTTGAAGATTTTGTGTTATATACTTTATGTTGAATATATTTTGTGTTTGAAAATATATAAATTTAGTTTGTTATTATTCCTTAAAAATTATATTTTTTTGAGGCCTATGTAGCCCTTCATAGTTGGAGATTGCCTTAATTAGTAGTGTATCCGATTAAAGTTTTCGTTATTACAGTAATATTGTTTGGTGATTGGAGTGGAATGTCAGGAGGTTTGTGAAGGCCGATCAAACAAAGGTATGGAATAAGAACCTCTTCAGGGAGGAAATAGAGGAAAGGCTAAGATTTGAGATGACGCTACTTGAAAGAGTAACATTTCAATGACGTGAAAAAGTTCCAATTGATCATCTACAAGAGTCGAGCTTAACACATCTTATTTAAAACAAATATTTGCAAGTAGATTTCATATACCAGAATACATTCAACATAAATTATATAACACAAAATCTTCAAAAACAAAATAAAGTATTTATTTTGTACTCATAAGCCAAAAAAAAAAAAAATAACTTGCGCGACGTAGGTACATGCGTTGCGCAAAATAGCTTTGCGCGACGCATGTACCTACGTCGCGCAAGTTTTTTCTTTTTTCTTTTGTTTTTTTTGGGCTTATGAGTACAAAATAAATACTTTATTTTGTTTTTGAAGATTTTGTGTTATATACTTTATGTTGAATATATTTTGTGTTTGAAAATATATAAATTTAGTTTGTTATTGTTCCTTAAAAAATTATATTTTTTTGAGGCCTATGTAGCCCTCCATAGTTGGAGATTGCCTTAATTAGTAGTGTATCCGATTAAAGTTTTCGTTATTACAGTAATACTGTTTGGTGATTGGAGTGGAATGTCAGGAGGTTTGTGAAGGCCGGTCAAACAAAGTTATGGAATAAGAACCTCTTCAGGGAGGAAATAGAGGAGATGCTAAGATTTGAGATGACGCTACTTGAAAGAGTAACGTTTCAATGACGTGAAAAAGTTCCAATTGGTCATCTACAATAGTCGAGCTTAACACATCTTACTTAAAAAAGAAAAAGGTAATGAAAGAAAAGAAAAAAAAAATACAACGCGACGTAGGTACACGTGCGTCACACAAAATAGCTCAAGTTATCTACCAAGTTAACTTAAGCTATTTATTGTATACTCAAAACGACTCAAGTTATCTACCAAGCTTGTACATTTTAAGCTCGCTCAAGCTCGACTCATATAATTAAAAAGCAATTCAAAAACATGTAAATTCATTACACCTTGATAAATAAGAAATGTGATTGTTTGAAATGCCCTCTCTTGGAAGTTGATCAGGTACAAAACACATTGCTGCAGGATGGCTCTTTGCAGTCACAATTGAGAGTTCTCGTACTGTAGAAAGCTGTTTGTCATTTTATCACTTAAAACGTATGAAGAATATTTTTCACTAAATTATTCTCGTTTAGCGTGCAAATGAAATCACAAGTGCTCAACTATCTGTAAATAGTACCATATTCTATAAAATTAGAATCATTACAAAAAAGCTAGCAAACATTCCATTACCTGTAAATTTGGAGTAGTGAATTCACCAAATAACTTGACATGGAATATGTGTACATCAAATGGGCGATATGTGACAAGTATATATTCTTGATAGACATCCATCACCATTGGTTTAGCCAGCAATGGTTTTTTACAAAGTTGCGAGCTCTGATCAAGATGATATCTTGGATAGAAAAGCAATTCGTAACTGCAATTTTACATCAGACCATTATAAATATCCCACAGTACATAATAAAACAACTAAAAAAATAATCCACACTGGTTCCATATCTCACACCCTTCTCTATTTCTACTCCGGCTCTCTACTCTAGCTACCAGTTTTTTATTCTTCAAGTGCACATAACGAATTACTTAAACCCCACAAGATTTGGAAAAGCAAGGCACCGCACTCTTCATTGCACATACTTCATAACAAACATCTTATCAATAAGTTTGCAAGTACAGATGAAATTCACACCGAAATGTTCTCGTATAGTGAAAGCAATGACAAAAGTAGGCAACTTTAATTGGAGCAGAAATTTCACAAACACATAATCAACATAAAAGTTTAAATTTTGACATTACTCCAGCAAACAGCACAAAGGCAATAAGCTATCTATCTTCAAAAGCCTCCCATCCCTGATTTAGAGACATCAGTCATCCAAAAATCTCAAAAACATTTTCCCATCTTGAAAAGACAAACAAATGCCACAATCACATATGAAGTTCAAAGCTCAAACAAATAAATGGACAACATAACAAAGTTGCCGAAAAGTTTCCAGATCTACATTGTCATTATTAGGCAGGAAATTCACATTTTACAACAGATCAGAAAACTATTGCATACCTGACATACAGGTTCCCCCCACTCTCACTGGGTAATCCCCTGTAGCTCTTACAAAAGATAACAAAATTCACAAGCAAAGACGATTTCAGTTACCAATAAAATCCAAGCAGTTGTAACTAGGGCAACATTTCCCACTGCACCGAGCCCAAAACACAAATATTAGGCCTAATATTTTCATTAAATATAGACTAGTTTAACTATGTCGAATAAATTCCAAAAAAGTCCCATTCTTTCCCCAGCCTTCTCAACAAACAAACAATCATCTAGTTTCAGGTAAAGGGACAAAAAACTACCTGCAACAAAACACTCAAACTTACGAAAATTCAAAACAACCTATATATCCTGTTGCAGTCACCTATCACTGAAAGCTTGAGTCCTAGTTTACATATGAAAACCCACAATTAAGCAGTATTGAAAAAAGCTAATTAACTGATTGCAATGCAAGTTTACAACGAACAAGGACTTACCGCACCACGATCATGAGGATGGTTGTACTGGCACCGACCACCGTATCCACAGAACCCAGTTCGCATGTAGTAGACACAGTTGGGCACGCCAGGTTTCTCCGGGTACGATTCGCTGCTCGTCAGCCCCAATTGCCACATTTGCTCTACAATTCCCCCGTAAACCAGAACAAAACCCCAATCACAACCCCACATTACCAAACCAAACACAAAACCCTAGAAACCCCAGATTACGAAATTAGCACAAATCGAGCTCAAACGAAGCGAAATTTAAACGCCGAGCAAGTAAAGGAGTACCTTCGAGGCCGGAGATCCAATGATGAGGATGATGGAGCCAGGGTGGCCAGCAGAAACCCAACCGGATATTGAACAACAGGCATATCAACGAGAGATGAAGCTGAGAGGTTGTACCTCATGGTCTGCACTCGATGGTCAAATTTGCGTGTAAATCCAAACTTGCACTGACCATTTTGCAGGTAGAATGTACACGGTTGCACTCCCTGTCCAAACACGATGGTTAATTTTCTCCATAGAATATGACATTGTTTAACTAATTAATGAAATATACGCAATTCACCACATATATGGTAAAATGCTCAAAATAATCGACACGGGCACAAAAAGGTAAAATGCTCAGTTTTGATTTATCAGTAGTCTAGTGATCATTTCATTTGATTCAGATTGTTTGTTCATGTAATGGTATTCGACAGGTAGATTTTCTTGAGGGACACTAATATGTGTCATATGTGTGATTTTCTTGTTGGTGAAGATGCGAAGGCCTAAAGGATGACAAACTTTGATACCCTTAAATCCCGCATAGGCTATGATTGGGTAGATTTATATCCATTATTATTTGTGCCTTTTGTGAATAAGCTTTTAGCTGTTTAGTGGTTGCTTAGTTTTATTTGTTTCTGTGCATTATGTGTTGCAGGGCCTTAAGTATGTCATGCTATTGTTTTTTGTTTAATTGAGTTACGCAAACTCAAAAGAGCCCATTATTTGCAATCACGTTAATTTTCAAGACTTTTTCAAGTCAATTTAATTTATGATGATTTGAAGTAAACATCATTTTAATTTCCATTGTTGGTAGATTCGCAAAAGACATGTATGATTGTATTAGGCTATAAAATGAAAAGTTGTCCCTTCGTTCAATTTCATGTTTTTGCTCATGTTTTAATCTCTCTTCCTTGCATTGCCTCTCACGCATCAACCTCTCTTTTCTTTTCGTCTCTCACTCTTGTCTTTCCATTACCTTCCTCATTCTATAAACAGAAAAATCAAAATATCAGCATATTAATTGCTATGCTTCAGAAACAATTGTTTAGGACTTAAAAATAGAACCTTTCTCCTCACAATTTCTTGTTTCTCCAGCTCCTTGCGGATCCGCAACTCATGAGCTTCAACTTCTTTAGCGATTCTCACTTCTTCACTCTACAAGGTGCAACTGGTTAAGTCCTTGGTTGAGAAAATATACTAATATACTAAAGTTAACTGAACAAGTATACCTTGTGTTTCCTCTCAATTCTCAGGATAGAGTCATTAATTTGGCCTTCAGATAATACATTAGAGTTTCTAGTGCAGGTGCAACAACAGGGGGATCACTAAACTGAGTATTTACCCTCACATTAGAGAAGGAGTCCCTTTGTGCTACACTGCCATCATCAATAGGAGATCAAAATTTTCAATATATTGGGTATTTACCCTCAATCATATATGCATGATAAGAACAAAAAAGATCAAAATTTTCAATATATTGGGTAATATTAACCAAAATTTCAATAAAATCATATATAAAAAAATGGATGACATAGAGGTTTTTAAATCACCTGAGTGTGATCAGGCGGCTATGGAGGTTTGTAGGTGAGCTATGGAGTTTTTGACTTGTGTTAGAACATTGAAAACTGAAAAAAAGACAAAAAGGTATATTTTCGTGTTGACTTTGCGCGACGAATCTAGGCGTCGCACAAAACAACTTTGCGCGACGTAGTGAACCTGCGTCACGCAAAGATGGAAAAAAAGTGGTAAAACAAGCTTGGTTTGGCGCCAAACTCTTGCATGACGCAAAAGACGTCGCGCAAGTGGTCTTTGCGCGACGAAGGAGTGCGTCACGCAAAACCGTTTTGCGCGACGAAGGTACAACTACGTTGCGCAAAACAGTTTTGCGCGACGCATTCCTTCGTCGCGCAAAGTACCGTCGCGCAAAGACCACTTGCGCGACGTCTTGTGTGTTAGCGTCGTGCAAACATACTTTGCGCGACAAAATGTGCTGCGTCGCGCGTCGCACAAACATGTTTTTGTACTAGTTAGAAAGATTCCAGGAAAATTTGTGATGGTGGAAAACATAAAAGCCAAACTAAAACTATAAGCCTGTATTAGAGGTTTATTAAATCCAATGTTGAAACCTATTTAATAGGATTGTTCAAAACCTAAAGAAGGATTGAATAGTCTTGATAGAGTAGAGGGAAAAGAAGAAGCAAGCCACTATAAAATTATAAACATCGTCCAACTGAGAACAATATGTAAAAAAGTTGGCTACTGATTTGTAAGATGGAGAATAAATGAAGGCATGCTCATGGATATGGAGGCTAATGAACATTGTTAGATACTGGGTATGCATATCATTCATTTAGTAGATATTGAGGGCAGGAAATGTAGTTTCACAATTGGAGAAGGCCACTTAGGAAGAAAAATATAACATAAATGTGAATTGCAAATATAAATCCAATTTTCAAACTAAATTCACTAATATAAATCTGAAACTTGAATTATCTATGTTTTCTATTAAAAGTTCCAGTGCTTATCTTCTAGCCATCATACGTCTAAAACAATACTTTTTCATCCAAATTTGAAACCATTCATACTCATACCAATCAACTCTATCGTGCTCAAATCAATTCCGTCTAATACGTAACAAAAAATTTGTACTTACATCTTTACTATACCATGTCTCCTTTTCATGTCCATTAGTGAAGTCAATCTCGTCGCACCAACTGACCATTATTTTGCAACTGTGAAAGAGAGATCTAATTAAAATCTACCGCACAGGATCTTGCCACTGGAGGAGCAGCTTCCGCCACCGTAAAAAGCATCGCTTCCTCAAGAGAATGTCTCCTTGTTTCCTTTGGAGCTCCACATGTGGCTCCATCCTTTACCAAACTATTGGAACTGATGCTCATATCTGCTGGTTTAGGAGCTGGTTGTTTTGCATTCTTCGCAACCCACAGTCTTCCCTCATACCTGAAAGTACCCAAGAAAGTTAAGATCAGAAGGAAATAATAACTGACGCATTCTCCATGTTCCACATAAAGCTCATAATTAATTTTAGAAAACAACTTATTTGGCACAAATAGCTTTCTCAGTCCCAAAATTTGGTGGCAATTCTTTTCCCAATAACTATTTCCCTTTTCATTCACTTGTCTACACAAAAGTACATAGAGAATTAACTAACAGGATAATGAATCAAAACATAGTAGGTTAGAAAAGATTAAAAAACACAGAGAGCAAGAATGTGAACACTGAACTTCCGTTTTTTAACAAATCAAAGCACCCTAATAACAAAACTCACAAACCTGGAATGTCCTCTTGCGCTTATCAACCACGACTCTGAGCTGATTGAGCAGCTGCTGCACCATCTCTCGCCGATTCAAGAGCAAGCACACCATTAAAAATCTCGAAACAAACCGATGCTTCTTGTTCGCCCAGCTCAGGTCCTGAAACATGCACTCCTTGAGTACTCTCTGCTCAGAATCACCTCGTTGAATTGCCTCGTGTGCATAAGGAAGCAACTGCAACTCAATGAGACAGATTACTGTAAAGTAAATCATGGTTCACAATCCAAATACAAATGCTAAGCAACGCACAAATAAAGACATGAAATCATTGTAAATTTTGAATAAAATCTCTCTCTCTCTCTCTCTCTCTCTCTCTCTCTCTCTCTCTCTCTCTCTCTCTCTCTCTCTCTCTCTCTCTCACACACACACACACACACAAAATAGGAGAAGCAGATTTGCAGAGACATAAAGGGGTAAAAAATGAAGAGGCAACAAACGGTAGGAAGAGTATAAGGAATGTTTAAAACCTTCTTAGAATTAACCACATTTGGATTTGTTCAAAAAATTACAGAAAAGAATTACCAACTACATTAAAATAAGATTGTTGTCTCACTAAAAAAAAACTCACCAAAAATAGTCTCCGTGGTTAAAGGGATTCTGTCTGATTCCAAAACATATATCTCTCACTGTCAATCAAATATGTACTAAATCAGTGTAATGCACTATATCATGTTCCGAACCACAATGCATTCAAAGCAATAATCAATTGAGCACACTAAATAAGTGGAAACATTTATACCTCAATCCGATTTGTGTCTTCTCATGTTTGCTTGTAGTTACAGACTTTGATAGGGTTTCCATTTTCTTCCAACTGAAGAAAGGAATTGGCATCTAGTTATGTTTCAATAGTTATGTGTTCAATGTAAGGGAGAGCCAAATCCAAGCAATAGGTTTCCGTTAACTTCCCACCAAGGAAAGTAAAATCAATTGCAACGATAAAGAAAAAGCACAAACTTATAAAATATACAAAACCATAAAAAGCAGGAAACGGTATTCTCAAAATGCACAAAAATATAAAAACAGATAGATCCCTAAGTATTCAACCTTCAGAGCACACAAAAAGTTAAAATTTTCTTCAATAAAAAAGTCAAAGGGAAAATCTGAAATTATATAGCCCAAGTGCAAAAAGCTTGGAAGCCTGCTGTTGACCCTAAAAACTACCAAGCCTACGTGGCGCGCAGGCCGAGTAATTAGTAAGTAAACTACGTCCTTCGGTTGTATGCGAGGCGTGCCAACTCGTCGGCCGAGCTTGGTCGAGGAGTAAAATTTGTTGATGTTGTGTTGAGTGCGCGGCTGACTTCTGCGTCTTACGATTGCGACCGAGGAAGGAACACGTCTCGGCCTCTTGGGTTCTCGAACCTGAAGACAAGGCTACTATTCTTACAAAGGTCACAAATCGTCATCGTCGGATTCGGCCACAGTGATGGTATTCGTCAGAGTAAACTCTCGCCGAATCGACACTAAAGTGTAAGGACACAAATACTCAAAGCAGATATGTGTCTTAACAATAAATGTGGTTCGGCCGTCGGAATGCCGAACTCTAAATCCAACCCAAGAGTATCCAATCATAAACCAACTCGGCATGCAATGTGTCGTGCCTAATAAACTGTAACACCTCACCTCACCGAGAAGGCTAATGAGATGATCTCGACCAATAAGGATTCGGAAATCCTTGTCGACCGAGACTTGGATAGGTAACCAATCGTCCTCGCCGCAATGCTGTTGATGCCAACGGAAGATGCTGTGAGATCGGCTGATTCTACGGCGACAGAGCTATCTATGCCGACTGAAGATATCACTGGTTGCTTTCACAGTGCTGTTGATGCCAACGGAAGATGTGTCAGCGAAACGAGAAAATAAAAAATCTCAAGTTGTTGAGAGAGTTTGCGCAGGGCAATTGTGTGTTGAATTGGAGGGGTCCTTGAATGGTGCACGACCTCTTGTATTTATAGTAGCTGTATATCTGCTGCGACATCCAGGCTAAAATAATATTCCTCATAATATTATCTTTAATATCCTACGAATTGCTTTTCAATTCTATCTCTTGCATGCAATCTCTTCTGAGCAATTAGTCTTTGATTTGATAATGTCTGACAACATCATCATCACCCTAAAAAGACCTAGCCACCCTAGGCTTCTTAAATGTCACCATTATCCAATACTTTTATTTTGGCATTCCCCCATACTTTTAGACTAGGTGCATGCAACGAATGTGATGTCAATCTTCTGAAGATACACCCAAGCTGTTCTAATCCGCTGCACTGCTAACAACTCCAAATTAATTCAGACTGTTCCGCTTGCTTGGAGGTATAATTTGCATCTTATCTTATCACATTCAAGAATATGTCAAGATAACTCACAAAAGATAATTTTTACAGTAAAAACCATAATATTATCATTTAAAAATAGAATTACCCTTATTTTCCATCCAACCGTTGGGAGCTATGCTCACTCAATGGCCTTGATTGTACGGGCCGATAGTGTAAATTTGGGTCCAAACACCTGCACACAAAAGCCCCAAAAAACTACAACCACACTCAAAATCCGAACGTAGGAACAAAACTCCAAAAATGAAAAAAAATAAAATATTTACAGAAAATGGATCAGCAAATGGAACAGGACCCCAAAATATTTAAATTTTGTTCAACAAAAGATATAATATGAACAACAGAAATTATATACCTTGATAAGAAAGGGCTTCCAATCTTGTATGCAAAAACCCCAAAATTCGAAACCCAGCTTTTCCTGAAAGCAAAAACCAAATCAAATCAGGCAACCACACACAAATCCAAAAAAAAAGTAAAAATCAAGCACACTGAGAAAGACGAAAAACTCACCAGGAAACGCTACGTTATGTGAGCAAGAAATTGGATTCCGACTAAATTCAAAAAAGGCAGAAACTTGTAAGGGTTGAGGGTTTTCAAACAAAAGAATTTTGCAAAAGCGCAAAAGTTTCTGAGCAAGAACCGGCGTTGATAATTGGTGAGAGAAATATGCAAACGGTAGATAGAAAAGAAAGGAAGATTGATTTGCAGAGCTTGTGTGAAAGGGATGAATTTTCAAATCGCTGAAATCTCTCTCTCTGTCTCTGTCTCATCTCCCTTTCTAACAAAATCCCTAAAATCCCTCCACAAATCCTCCCATATCTCTCTCTCACACACACTCTTAATCTCAAGGGCGGTCCATCCCCCAAAATCCTCATCAAATGACAACGAAGCCAAACCTACCCCACAATTCGCTCAAAACATTAGAGGACTAAATTGCCCTTCCAAACACATCATCCCTACTGTCAAATTTTAAGCTTTGATGGGCAGAACTGTCATCAAACGACTGAGGGTCCAACTGAGGGCCGGGCTTTTACCGAAAACCAACGAAGCCCATGAAAAAAATTGAGGCAGCCCAAACCCCAACCCAGCCACAGATTTGGTGGCAGCAGTGTGTAAATAAGGCAAAATCAAGGGACAAAATTTTGACTGTAGCTAAGCTACAGTCAAATCTTTCCTCAATTTTAGAATAGATAATATCAATATAATCACAACCATATCAAAATATTACCATGATATCAATCTATGTTTACTGTAATAGGGCTTTGCCATAAGTTAGTTGCATTAGGGTTTAAGACTTCACGATTCTTACTCTATTAGGGCTATTACAAGATTACTTGTCAACCAAGTAATCTCAAGAAAATCTCATTGACATTCACAATATGATCTCGCTAATTACTCAACGAGATCTTACATTCTGCCAACGATAATCCCCCATAATGAAAGAATACATGGTGATCACAAAGTCTTACAATAGTATGAAACTTCCCTTTGAACAACCTGTCACTCTCAGATTGATTACAGGACTACAGAAAACCAAGTATATATCTAGCTGCACTTGCACTCTATAATCACATGCACAATCAATTTGTTAGCACTTTGTTGTTAACATAATCATGGTAATCAAAATAGTTGAATTACTCATCAACATTCTTAATAGAAAACTGAGTAATACTCCAGTTTTACTCGCATAATTATTTTGTCAAACAAACTTCAATAGTCAATGCAATATTACAAGAACAATGATTAAATGAACATAAGGGAAACTAACTTATTCAAAAGTTTGAGTAGAGAACAAAACCAATTGATGAATGTCTACTCTTACTCATTAACTGAATCAAATGGTTCTTGAACTCCCATATTGAACACATGCCTCTTGAACACACCCACTGGTAAAGCCTTTGTCAAAGGGTCAGCTATCATAAGAGTTGTGCCAATGTGCTCAATTTCCACCATTCCACTTTTCACTTCATCCTTCACTTGCAAATATTTTATATCTATTAGTCTGCAACGCTTATTCTTTGAGAAGAAAACTGCAGCCTTGTTATCACAGTACACCTTCAAAGGTTTTTCTATATAATCTATCACTCGCAGACATTTCATCATATTCTTGATACAAATGGCCTGTTTACTTGCAGTGTAACAGCTAATGAATTCTGCCTCCATTGTAGAAGAAGCAGTGGCCTTTTGTTTTGTACTCTTCCATGAGATTGCAAAACCAGCCAATATAAACATATAACCACTTCTTGATTTTCTATCATCCACGCACCCTGCCATATTTGAATATGTGTAAGCAATCATTTCCATGTCTTAGACACAATTGTACACAAGCATGTAATATCTAGTCATTCTCAAGTACCTTAATACTTTCTTTGCTATAACCCAATGAGCTTCAACAGGATTTGATTGAAACCTACCTAGCACACTCATTCCAAATGCCAAGTTTAGCCTTGTAAAAATATGAGCATACATCAAACTGCCCACAAACAATGCATATGGATTATCTTTCATGGTCTCCTTCTCAAGTTCATTCTTGGGACATTGCTCTTTGCTCAATTTATCCCCTTTGCCAATTGGCAGCTCTCCACTAGAACACTTTACCATATTAAACCTCTTTATTATTCTGTCAATGTAGTTCTTTTAAGACAATCCTAAAATCTTCTTTGATCAATCTCTTGTTATTTAAATGCCTAAGAAAAAATGAGCTTCTCCTAGGTCTTTCATATCAAATGCATCAGCAGGCATTCTTTTAGTCTCATGCAATAAGGACATGTCTGAGGTTGCTAATAAGATATCATCAACATATATGACAAGAAAAATGATTTTTTAGCCACCGACCTTGACATATATGCAGTCATCTATCTTGTTTTCCTAGAAACCAAGGCTCGTGACAACTTGATCAAATTTCTTATACCACTGCTGAGAAGCCTATTTCAATCCATAGAGTGACTTGTTTAATTTGCACACCATAGATTCCTTCCCCCTTTCAACAAATCCTGGAGGTTGATGCATGAAGATCTCTTGTTCTAAATCACCATTAAGGAACGTAGTTTTCACATCCATTTGATAGAGCTCTAAATCATAATGTGCTATGAGTGTCATAACTATTCTCATGGGGTCTTTGGACGAAATTGGAGAGAAAGTTTCATTGTAATCGATGCCTTCACGTTGAGTGAAACCTTTTGCCACTAAGCAAGCCTTGTGCCTCTTGATGTTGCCTTGGGAATCTCTTTTTGTCTTAAACACCCATTTGCAGCCTATTGGTTTGCAATTGTCACTGCAAGGAACAAGTGTCCATACACCATTATTCTGCATTGAGTCCAAATTCTTCCAGCATTGCATGGTGCCATAAGTCATGGTGCACACTTTTAAGAACAAACAGAAAGGCCTTTATACTTTGTCGCGTTTATATGTATTCACCCACACTAAATAGAATCCTTAAATTTCCTTGTTCGCGTTAACATTTGGAATTTATCATGAAGGAGAAGGATGCCTTTGTGATTCTACTCCATTATAATACTTATATCTTTTTCAAGATAAACAAAAAAAAAAATTCACACTATTTTTGAAACATAACTAAACTAATTCACACTATTTCTGAAACATAATTAAAATAAAGGAAAATTAATGAAAAGGGTTTGAAAACATAGAGTTTTAACGATGGTATGAACGCATAGGCGAAGATCGTTTGCTAGTCCGGATTATAATGGTATAGTTACGGACGTTTGAAATTGATTACTTACATTTTAGATTATAAATTATTTGAACTCCCACCATATGGGAATGGTAACCAATCAGAAGTAAGGGAAGGAAATAAAGGGCCGCTAAGTTAAAAGAAAGAGATGACCAATCAAAAAATGAGGAGAAATGGAAGGAAGGTGGTATGGGGGAGGAAGTCCCCATCTGATGGGAGGCGGACGAACCAGAGAAGGAGGAGGTGAGTGGACCAATGGGAGGAAGAGAAGGGAAGAAAGGAGAGAGGAGTGAGAGGCACGGGATCATAAACCCTTCCCTTTCAACCCGTGCATAACCTAGTTTCGACTCGGTTCCAAATCTGGCGAATTTCCGCCATTTTTCTTGTTGATCACCACCATCAATCACCTGCAAATCACTCATGTGGCCTCCCATCCACCATTTCAGCCAAAAAACAGAGAGTTTTGGTTCCAATTTCGTGAAGGCCGACGCACGGCTTCGTGGGTACTAGGAAACGATCCACCCATTTCTAAAACACTTCTCTAGAGGTCGGAACAAAGCCCAAACAGTTTTAGGGGCCGTGGTGTTGCGGATTGATCGAATTGAAGGACACCCAAATTATAGGGTTCCGACGAGTTCTTGGCGATTTGAAGCTCTTCCCGGCCAAATTGGACTTGGCCACAGGTATAAGACTTGCTTTACTCATTGAGATCTTCATTTTTGTGAAGTTTGAGAATTTTTAGAAATAGTTGATTTTTCTGGCGAGTTGGGGCGGTCGATCGTCGGATACAGAAACGTGTGGGTCGAGGCATCCCCTAACCTTCCTAGGCTAAACTTCATACCCAATTCCATATGTGATGTCCGATTAACAAAATTCCATTGTTTTGGTACAATTTCGCTAAGGTCCGTTACTTGGTCATTATAAGAATCGACGATCCAACCGTTGGATCATCACCAAACTTTAATAGCTTATTATTCGTAATATTTGAGGATCTTAGGAACTTACAGATTGGGAATCCGACGTACGGATCTTCCCAAATTAGATTTGTAAGTTTGTAAAATAAAACATTGACCACCACTTGAATTTGCAATTGGCGAAGATCCAACCGTTGGATCATAATGAAACTTTAGTATATTGTTCTAGAAAAATAATGTAGATCTTTGGATGTTACGGATAAAAATTCTGAGGTATGGATCTTCCGGATCTAGTTAGGTAGGGTTGCGGACCCTACCGTCGACCGACAGTTGACTTTTGGTCAATGGGTTTCGAATCATTTTAGAATGTCCTTGGGGATGTGTTTTATGTAAGTAATGTGTTATATCGATAAGAATTCTGAGACGTTATTTGATAATTGTTCTAGACGACGATCGTTCGTGACACCTTGATATTTGTGCAAGGGAGTTGTAGCGCGAAGTCCAGGTGAGTGGGCTTTTGGTTTTCTATATACATATATATGCTCTACATTTTCCCAAATTTTTTTAAATGGATTTACGATTTTAAATGCCATGTCAATTGCATTACATTTTAGAATATGGATTAGAATAGATATGCATGTTGTAGTTTGACGCTGCAGACGCTCAGGTAAGCTTCAAGTGATATATATTGATGATGGTGGAATGTATTGTTGTGATTATACGTAGATGCATTTAGAGCTCATTATCCTGCACCTCAGTGTTAGTGCTCCCGCCCATGGCCAGGGCACAGTCTTTCACGTTATGTTCACCTCCTGCACCGCACGCTCACCTTGGATCCAAGTTTGGTGCACAACCTTGTCGTACAGACCATAATAGGTGGTTTCGACTCGTAGGTGACCCGCGATTATTCGCTAAGCCTTCACGTGATCGTAGTACTTGAGCGTACTTATCTACACCTAGCCTTGTCGTACAGACCACAATAGGTGGTTCGGACTCGTGTGCAGGCATACTTAACGAGCTATAGATTCAGCTGTACATGTCACATTAGGTGACTCCGGCTGACATACTATTTTACATTGATTCGTATCACCTAGCTTACACATTTTATGGTTGAACATCTTGACCTAGCATACCTCTATTTTCACTGCTTCTAAGCATTATCCTTATGTACCTACGT